AAGTTTATTTATTTTCTCATTTATTTATTTTAGTGACAAATAATATGCTATAAAAATATTTTACTAACTCAATTATTTATAACAAATCGGATCGGCCTATATTCATATTTGATCCATTTAGTTGACGAATTATCGGATTCGGATCTTGATCGAGTTATCGGACTAAGATCCTAAATTCATCTCCCATTAATTTCATCGGATTCGGATTGAATTCGGATCAAAATCCAAATCATTGAAAGCTCTACATAGACGTTATAACACACTTCTTGAACTAAAGTAACTTCTGAAAGTGCAAAGTTTTATGAGTGTACTGAATTCGTTAGTCCACAAAGGGGTAAGGTGGGTGTCTTTAAAAATGAATTGTGATATTGCTGTGCAAGAAGAGGTTGCGATTGGCCTTGGGGAAATTTTTCAGGACCATATATGGAATCTGGTCTCTATTTTGCAAAGATGCAAAGGGTTTGGCGCTACAAGGAGGGTCTCGATTTGCTAAAGAGGTTGAACCGATGCAACTAGAGCGGAGAGTAATTGTTTGTCTTGTTTAGAGCTTATCTAGACATGGGAAACGGGCCGAGCAACTCGGTCACTCTGCTTGTGAAAACACGAGCCACGAGCAGCTCGGGCTCTTCAAATGACAAGCCCAAGTCGAGCCAAGCCGCAAGTGAGCTCAACGAGCCGAGCCCACGAGCTCGACTCGTGAGCTAGTGAAAATTTAGAGAAAATTTTTTAGCAGGCTCGGCTCATGAGCTCGTGAAAAATTAAAGAATTTTTTTTAAAAAACGTGAAAAAGTAAAAAAAGATTCAAAAAGCTCGTGGACTCGCGGCTCGGCTCGTGAGCTCAGAGCTCCTGGGCCGAGCCGAGCTCACCCACGAGCAAAAGAGCCACGCGTCGGCTCGGCTCGTGAGCTCGTGGTTTGCCCATTGCCATAAAAAGCTTATCTATAGAATTTTATTTAGCTCCGAACGCATTTGTTTCATCGCGTGTTGTTACTTTGTCGAGAGATATGCGTCGTGGTCCTTATTGCTAAATATCTCTTGCGGGGAATAAAGTGAATCACAAACCCGCTTCATTTGTTTTTAGTGATCCTTTTTTTAGGTCTTGGAATGATAATATTCCTCTATTTTTATCACCTATTGTTCAAGCTTATTCGAGTTAATATAATGGTTCATAATTTGAAAAAAGAAGCATTTTTCAAGCCACAAGTCACATTACAAATAAGAAGAATAATTATAGTTACGAGACCTCATCTGGACATCAACCAATCAACGCACTGGGTCATTGAATCAGTGATCGAACCATTGGATAATTTATCAGTTCGATAGGTCATTGCATAGGAAATTATTTAAGAATTTCAAAAATGTAAAAGAAAAAAAAAATCTTTGAAACAAAATTAAACTTTTAAAGTTATTCGTCACTAATTATATTATATATATAATATTGTCAACTTATTTTACTATAATATTTACATTTAAATTTTTATAGTTCTGAATACTTCAAAATTATTTTAAGAAAGCATTCATTCATATAAATAAATGCATAAACACTAAAAAAATCTTGCTCGTATTGGTGGTAAGATTGCTGGTCTTCTAACTTGGAAGTCAACGGACCAAATCCTTGCCATCGTGAGATTTTCAAAACAATTTTGAGACCCGGTCAACGATCGATCAAACTGGGCTCCGAGTTTTACGAAAATTAGTGGTTTACCCAGAATTTGACCGCTTCATGACTGGGTCTTTAGCAATCTGATCGAGGGTATTTTACGAGAATCGATGATTTACTCAAAATTTGATCGAATCTTGATCAATGTCTTTGGCAAAAAATTGTCATTTAAGACAACCCGACCGGGTCAAGGGCATGGGTCACTGTTTTGCGACCTATTGCCCCGACCGGACAAGTTTGATAGCTATGCGAAAAAGCAATTTGTGATAGGATTAACTGCCATATTGTTATATGCTAATAGAATCACCTTATGAAATAAATTATCTATAGCAAAATTATTTATTTTAAGAAACTAGTTAAAATAAATTATATATAAATTATGCATACCGAATATCAACTGAAAATACATATTGTTGCAATATACAGTGCAATATCCTATAAAAGTTGAATAATTAAAAACGGCGAATGTTAAGTTTCAAACGTACAATTAAAATTCATATTTGATTTGAATCGGTTGTCAAATTATATATATTACGTAAAATTGTAAATACGCACGAACGCACTCCATTAAATATTTACAAGTTAATATTTATTAATGTAAAAAGTAAAAACACAAGTTTTATGAATAGCGAAATATATATATCATTTCGCTATATTCTTGCGATAGCGAAAGCATGGTTCATACTCCGCGAGAGAGAGAGAGTATGCGAAGGTTCGGATCGAAAATCTTTGCGAGATTATTCATACAACGTATCATGACTTATGTCAATACAAACCAGGGACATGATTTAGGACCGGACTACAAGTCGGGCTAATACGTAGAAAAAAATTCATTTTGCACATAAAAAAAATTTTACAAGATTTTTTTTAACACTTTAAAAAAGGGGGGGCCAAGCACTGGACTGGGCTACGGCCCGGCCCGGCCCAATCCTCCCCTAAATCCGTCTTTGATACAAACTCACTTCATAATTTTTATCATTTTCTTTTTACAAGAAACTAGTGGATGGTCTATCAAATTTTCAATAGACTCGCAAAACAATTATCGTACCTACAATTTTTAGCATATAAAGATATAGTCGGACTTGTTTTACATCCAGTTCTCAATTTTATTTGATCAAATTAACAAGTTCGGTCTAATCTTTACGAAATCGGTATATTCAATAAGTTTTCTATGTTTATCTAAGACATTGATATTGTCGAAGTATAATTCTAATCATAGACAAAGAACAAGGATGGATTGATCGATGAGAGATACTAGACAAATTTATCCACCCGGTAGATAAACTAATTGTTCCAAACTCATTTGTAGCTTCTTGTTCTTAACAATAATTTTGTACAAAAGCTATTGGAATTTTATTTGTTTTCTGATTTTCCAACTACTCCCTTAGGATTCCACGTAATGCTACCCTAGTTTTTCTCATCACCAACTCGTATTTTCAAGGGAAAAAATGACCTCATTGTAAATAAGATTAAATTTAATAGCTAATTTTGGAGATTCTTGTTTTCAAATGGTTTGAATTTTTAAATGAGGTGTTAATTCCTATTGGAATCATATTAGACAAATTTCTCGAGTTTAAATTTTGTTATCGATATAGACAATGACATCGATCAATTTGATATCAAATGAAGTTGCAACTATAAAGAGGTTGTATTGGACAGACATTATCCATAAGATTTACCGCAATTTAGTTTTAAAACAATACACGTGAACTGCATACCACCAACGTCCAAACAAATTTAAGAATTTTCATGAACAACTCGTAGTACTACTCGAACTCGATTAAGCTGTATAAAATACCCTGAGTTGGATCACGTGATGGTATGCCAACTCAATCCATTTTAATCACATAGAAGTAGTTTATTTAATTCTTGTAAAAAAAAAATCACTACTGATGTTTAATCTTTTACTATTTTTTTTCTTATTTGAGGCTGAGAACTGACCAAAAATTGAAGTGACCCGATTTACATCAAGTAAACTTTAGACTAAAACCTATATCCCCAATTATGGGGCAAAATTCAACAATATTTTCGCCACTCCAATGTTTTATGTAACAAGTGTCTTTTAAATAAACATAAATAATTGCTAATTTGGAGAGAATGTGGACCCTGTGAAACCAACGGTAGTTGAAGTTAAAATAATAAAATATCAGCGCATTACGTCATCCAAGTATACATCAAATGTAGAATGAAAGAGAAATTAAGCTGGTTCGGGTTAAAATTTGATTTTAATCAAAGTCAAAGTCAAACAATCAATATTATCCACATCTTTCATGAGTCCCACAACTTTTCAACCACACATTTCAAATACTTCCATCACAATCTACTAAAAATCTAATTTTAATTTCCACCAAACATCGTTTAAAGAAGATTTGTGATAGGGATAACATTGGAACGAATCAAAGTGAAACGGTCATTACTATCTTCGAAAAGCAATTTTTTTCTTTCAAAGCTTTTAATATTTAATAGTGAATAGAATTAGTTGACAAATTCTATCATATGAACTCTCTTATTTTCTTAAGCTATTTGATTTGGCATACTAAGTCTTTAAAGATTATTATTTTTCTATGAACTCATTGATGGACTAAGCATAGTCAATAAAGTATTTCAAGCTAACACATAGCTCTGCCGAAAATGATATCAAATTCCTCTAATTTGGTCAACAAACAAGACAATCCCCAGCTAAACTCAAATCCCACGTACCAAATTAACATAAAATAAGTAAATCCTTCTACTTTTCCAACACCCCATCCCACCCCCCAACGTTTATAGTCATAATCCTTTAAAACCAAACTTATATCGACTATGCAAATACTTTTACTTTTATCCCCAAAAAAATTTATAAGCACGCACCCCTTTTCCCATCTCGAGTTCAAATTTATTGTTCCCATCTTTGCGTCACGTAAATTGTCCCACATAACAAAATTAATACATACTAAGTGACATTTTGTCCTTTTTCTTCCAAAAAAACGAATCAAAACACCCTCTACCTGGCCGCCCCCACCCCAACCCAAGATTTGAAGTCATGTTTATATGAAAGCATAGTCAGTGGTTCACCCACCATAACACCCTTCAAACTAAGAATCTCAATACAAAAGGCGCACACGAAAGNTCAAACTAAGAATCTCAATATAAAAGGCGCACACGAAAGAATCTTCCTAACTTTCACACCAATTTCTTGTGCATTGATCTTATCTAAAACTAAGTTACAAAAAAAGAAACATATATTTTTTCTTGTATGACTTATACACACAATAATTTGTATCTATATACAGACAAGTTCTGTTAGTCTTAATAAAGACTTCCTCAATCCCAAAAGTCTCCCAAAATAACTTTTTAAACCATGTTTCGGTTTTTCAGTTATGATACCCTCACCCTATTCTTTCTTCTTCTTTCTTCTTCTTCTTCTGTCTTTCCCGCTATAGCCACCCGGTCGCCACCCAATCCTTTAACTGAATTAACTGTCGATATTCAGAACGAAACGTGGCACAGTTTTATTCGCTTTCTTGATGCCGGAAAAGGCAGCCATGTCACCGGCATGGCCGAGCTCAAGAAATATTTTCAACGTTTTGGGTACCTCTCATTCCCGGAAAATAATTTCACCGATTTATTCGATCATGAGTTTGAGTCGGCTCTGTTTATGTACCAGAAAAATCTCGGGTTATCAACCACCGGAAAACTCGACTATGATACCATGAAAGTGATCATGTCGCCCAGGTGTGGAGTTTCCGACACGACAACACCCCACAATTTACATGCAACGAAACACTACGCCTATTTTTATGGCGAGCCGAGGTGGACCAAGTCGTCGCCGATGATATTATCCTACGCTTTCTCTCCGGCCAACATCATCGATTACATAAGCTTATCCGATATCAAAACAGTTTTTCGACGAGCCTTTTCAAGGTGGTCTTCTGTGATTCCGGTCAACTTCACCGAGGCTGGGGATTACTCCTCGGCCGATATCAAAATTGGGTTTTATAAAGGCGATCATGGCGATGGGGAGGCGTTTGACGGGGTTTTGGGAGTTCTTGCACACGCTTTTTCGCCGGAAAACGGTAGGTTCCACCTGGACGCCGCCGAGACATGGGCGGTGGACTTCACGGCGGAGAAGTCAAAAGCGGCGGTGGATTTAGAATCAGTGGCGACGCATGAAATTGGGCATGTACTTGGGTTGGCTCACTCTTCGGTCAAAAACGCCATTATGTACCCAAGTTTGAGTCCGAGGACGAAAAAAGTGGACCTCAAAATTGATGACGTGGAAGGTGTCCAGGCTTTGTATGGCTCAAATCCTAATTTTAGTTATAATTCTTTGTTGGAATCAAACATTTCATCAAGTTGGGGATTTATAGCCATGGAAAGAAGAAACGCGATTTTAGTGTTGATAGTAATTATTTTTTCTCTATGCTTATGATGATAGCACGATTCTATCTTATCACTTTTTTGGGTTCTCTAACGTATACAAATTGTTTATTTTCCTTTTCTCAAAGAACTGCACAAAGATTTACACTTGTTAGAAAATTAATTACATCTCTTTTTTAAAATTGAAAGTAGTAATATCTTTTTGTGTTTATAATGACACGATTCTTTCTTACTTTTTGAATTCTTGAATATACAAAAATTATGTTTTTCTTCTTTCTTTTTAAAGATTGCACAAATGTTACATTCTTTTACGCCATGTAAATTGTCGTTGTTACGATTTATTCTCAAATTTTTAGATGATCGGAAAAACTACGTATTCTTGGAGCCCAACATGTGCTTTTTGTATAAGCAAAATTTGAATTTTATGTTCCAATTTTCTAAATTTTTTTGTAAATCGTAATCCATGTTGGCCATCTGTCTTGACATATGACTAAATGAAAGCCACTTATTTTGTGCATCAAGATAATTGCTATTGAAAGAAGCAAATGGGACTTTAGTCCAATCATTTTTTCTTCGTGCTTTTGCCTTTTAATAGGACAATTTTTGATACGTTCATTCAATGACGGCTAAATATTGTCTATACCAATTATTTAAGAATATGAGGAGAAATTAAGTATTTTTACATCTTCCTAAAAAGGTTTTTGGATGAAAATAGTCAATATTATAGAATAGTTGGGAAAAATATTACAAACTTTATGATAGGAATTTGACGAAAAAAATTGAAAATATTAGTGCAAAAATGAGTAAATGTTAAGGAAATTCATTGTAATTAAAATGCATCGATGAATTACAAACAATGTCGATGCTGGAGACTTGGAACAAGCCATCCGTTGTAGTATGAAAAAGGAAACACGCTCTTTTTAAAAAAGAAACAGAACACGTGTCAAAAATACTAGAATGTATATCAAACATAATATAATACAAACTGCGGTAACTTTATGTGTAAAACAAAAAACGAATTCTTGGAAAAAGTCCAAGAGATATAGCTGAATCGAGAATAACTGTTAAATCTTCTTAACCCTGTGTTCCGCCACCGCTATGCCACACTATGCCTATCGCTACGTCCCGCTATCACCAGCGCCTAATAGATTTTTAATTTGGATGAGGAGCAATACCCTTGAAGTCTAAGGCTTTTCGATATCATCCATGTATTTAAGTGTTCAAATTTCCCATAACATAAAACAAAATTAGAATCAATATTTTATTTGACCGGTAGATATATACATATAGGTGCAATTTAGGGGCTTAAGCCTCTATTTGGCCACCATCTCTTAAAATTTATTTTTCACAAAATTCATTTTTAATTACACATTTTACGAATCCCACAATTTTTAGGGTAAAGCCACTTAACCATGGTGAAAATAAGGGAAGTGAGAGATAGACTGATTTGTCAGAAAATGATTGACTGTTTTTGTTTTAAAATTTCAAACTGCCCAACAAGGTTTCGACATGTGTCCCACGTGGATTTGAGCCTAGATTTGTAGCATGATTCCAATTTTTATCAACTGTCAATTATACATTTCACCAACTTTTATTATAATCTACTAAAAATTTATTTTTTATCAAAACCAAACAGGGGCTAAGAAGGATTATTGAATAAAAAATTACGCTTTACGTTTCAATTTCAAATTCTTAGTAGTTCAATTATAAATTAGGCAAAATGCACTTTTCAAATTCTCAGCCGCCGTGGAAAATGCATACATTTTGATTGGAAGAAATTGTAGCAATGCCTTCCTAAGGGGAAAAGTATTGATTTTGATTGTAATAATCTTCCATAGAAAATGCATATATTTCACAACTTGCCGTTGAATGAAACCGGAAAATTGTGGAATGTAAACCATATTTCTCATTATTTTATTTTATGAAAATACAATGTAAATTATTAATACCACAAGCACCAAATTTCTGGAAATTGTGAAATTTCCAGGTTTTTGTTAATATATGTACATATGGACCACAGCAATTTTGTTACAAAATAGTTATACCACAAATATTCTTACACGATTAAGCAATATATGCATAGATGATAACAGGGGTGTATTGCTGTCAGTGTATATTATCAAAATCACTCCAGCTTTAGACTGCTTCAATTTTTTGGACTATGAAAGGACTATATGATACTCTGCTACTTGACATAATTTTTTTTTAAAAAGATCATGTATTACCGAATTAGCATGGTGAAGTATCACGTGGAGAAGGATTTTATTAATAGTTAGCTACAGAAACCGACTATATACTGAATGAATAACATGTCGTGAGACAAAAATTTGAGGGAACACAAAACTCCTACAACACCCAATGCAAACAAGAGGTATAATCTCTAGCCCCCGGGGCACATCCCAACTGTCATAGGACGGGGCTCTTAGTTGCTGGCAGTTCAGAAGTCGCGAGTTCGATTCGTGGGGCTCTTGGAAGACATGCTCTCTCCTGGAAGGCAAGAGTTCTCCTAAAAAGTAAGGTACAACATGTGTTGACTCGCTCGACACTTTGGCAGATCAGTGGAGGGGCCTCTTGGACCCTGGCCATTTGGGGCACATCCCGCTGTTTACCTGGTATGCGTCTTGAGGGGCTAAGGCGTAGACCTCAAAATTAGTCGTCGAAGGTGGACACCTGGGTATAAAAAAAAAAGAGGTATAATTTCTAACGATTGTGCTACATGTACATCACAACTTACAAATTTGTTTACCTATAAAAGATGTGACGAAATTTCATTGAGTCAATCCCATCAATCAGACAAAGAAAATTCTCCCACTATCTTTTGACACTTATGTTGAGAAAAGTTTAGGGCTGGATATGGTCCAGTTCGATTATGTTCTGTTCTGAAGAGAACCGAATCGAACCAAAATTTTCAGGTATTTAATAAATGGAACCTTCGGGTTCAAATATAATTATGGAACTGTTCGGGTTCGATTCCATTCCATTCGGTTCGGTTCCGTACCTAATTAATTTTTTTAATAGATTTCTAATAGTCAACGATCGGTGGTAACGATGTCAACGAGCCGAAAAAAAAAAGCTCGAACTGAGCCGAGCCAGATAAAAAAAAATGAGGCTCGGCCCGAGCTTTTGGCTCGAGCCTTAGCGGGCCGAGCCGGCTTGGATTTTTTGGTTTTTTTTTTCTTAGCTGCCTTTGTTGCCTGCAGGCAGCAAGCTGCCTTAAATTTTTTTTTTTAATTAATAGGAGGCTCGCCCGGGCCACGGGTCGGCCCGGGCTCGAGCTGACTCCCCAAAGTGGGCTCGGCCAGAGCCCGAGTCCTCCGAACCTCCGAGTTTTTTTTGCCACCGCTAATCGGTGGTCGTGGTTGGAGGTCGTATGCTCGTATGGAACTGTTCGGGTTCAGTTCCATTCCATTTGATTCGGTTCGATTCCGTACCTAATTAAATTTTTTAATAGATTTCTAATAGTCAACGATCAGTGGTAGCGATGTCAACGAGCCGAAAAAAAAAAGCTCGAGCCGAGCCCGAGCTTTTTTGGACCGAGCTTTTTTTGGCCCGATTTAGAATCCCATCGTCAACATTTATCCATTGTACTTAAGTTATTAAAGCAGACATTATATGGTAAATGGTCTAAATGCTCGTTTGGGCAATCCAAAGTGGAATATTTGGGTCACATAATATCAGTCATAGGAATATTAGCAGACCCTCGGAAAGTGAGTGCTATGCAGCAGTAGCCTAGGCCTAGTAATGTGAAGCAATTGAGGGGATTCTTTGGCTTGACATGATATTATAGGAAGTTTGTAAAAGGATGTGGAATTCTAGCTAAACTACTAACTGATCTCCTTAAAAAGGACTGTTTCAGCTGGGATAATGTTGCTGAATTGGCATTTCAGTAGTTGAAGACAGCCATGTGCAGCACACCCTTCATTGTTGAGACAAATGCTTGCCATGGAGGAATTGGAGCAGTTTTAACGCAAGGTTGGAGACTTATTGCTTATATGATCAAGGGCATCAGCAATGAGAAACTAGGGGTATCTATATATGAAAAGGAATTGCTAGCTTTAGTCACTGCAGTAGGGAAATGGAGGCATTACTTGGAGGGACATCATTTTGTCATCAAAACAGATCACCAATCCTTAAAATACCTGCTAGAGCAAAGGATCACTACTCCTCTTCAACAAAAATGGCTAACTAAACTACTTGGGCTAAGTTATGAAATTTAGTATAAGATGTGGACATATAATGTTGTGGCTGATGCACTGTCAAGGAGAGAAGAATCAGATATAGAGGCTGCAATAATTTCACATGTCATTCCCACTTGGATACAAGAGGTAATGTAAAGGTATAAAGGGGATGAGACAGCTAACCAACAGATTGAGTCCTTGTTAATTAATCTTGGGCTTACTGACTACAGCTATAAGAATGGGTTACTCAAGTATAAAGGAAAGTTGTATGTGGGGTCAGGGGGATAGATAAGAGCTAAACTGATACAAAATATCCACTCATCTCAAAATGGAGGACATTCAGGTATCCACGCTAGTGTTTATAGAGCTAAACAACATTTCTTCTAGCCTGGAATGGTTAAGGAGATTAAAAGAGAGGTGGTCCAGTGTAACATTTGCCAAAGATGCAAATGAGAGCATGTCCCCTATCCTGGCTTGTTGCAACCGCTACTTGAACCTCAATACTCTTGGAGCCATATCTCCATAGACTTTATTGAAGGGCTACACCTTTCAAAGGGTAAGACTGTGATACTAGTGGTAGTGAATAGGTTCACTAAGTATGGACATTTCATAGCCTTGGCACACCTATTCTCAGCTTCTACTGTAGCGAAAACATTCCCGGATAATATTTACAAACTACATGGGGTGCCCAGAGTGTAGCATCAGACATATTTCACAAGTGGATTTTGACAAGGGCTATTCAAATTAATGGGCTCTAAACTGTACCTAAGCTCTGATATCACCCACAAACTGATGGACAAACTGAAAGACTTAATCAGTGCTTGGAAATGTACCTGAGATGTATGACTTTTCATCAACCTAAGCAGTGGTTTAA